CTCTGTGCCAGTTTGAAGCTGTTCATGGAATTCCCTGTGTGACGAAGCATTAGCAAGTAAAGCGCAGTGAGCCCCGTTCGGCCAGCCTGAATTCAGGTTCTTACACAACTGAGAGATTAAGGACTTGTAGAGAGCAACTGAGAAGCTTTAATGAGCAAAAAAGCCACTAAGAGGCAACTTAGAAATACTCGGTTCAAACTCCAGGGTAGAATTCATGCTGTCTGAATTAGACCTGTATTAACTCAGCTAAAGGCTTGCGTGGAACTTCCCTTCGTCTTCCCAATTCTCAGAGAGAAGCGATGTGGAGCTTGTCACGCTGGAGGTATCAGGGGAGGGTTCAGCAAAGTTTGAGAGACTAGTTGTTGCATGTTGGCAGTTGTTTGAAGGGGGGCATGGCTCAGTTTCCAGGCTGCACTAGGGGAAAAAGGCATGCCTGATACAGGATTTCAATTTCATTTACATATTAATTAACATGGCTTCTTTATATCTCTCGTCTTCATTACAGAAGCTTGAATTTCAATTATACAGGAGCTGTTTGCATGGCAGTGGTCTCTAGCGTCTGGCAGACTGCCTATAAACACACCTCAAATGGAGTGGAATCACAAACATGGTGTGAACTCAGAATGGAAAAAAAAAAAGTAAACTGAGTCATCTATAGCATTATGTGATGCATTTATTGTCTTCTGACATGCTGGAAGAAACAAAGGAAAAAGTGTTTAAATCCAGAAAGCTGTCAGCTGTCAGTCAACTCCTTTGATATTCGTATTTAGTACAGTCCTCTCTCATAACTCCTAAAGCTTGTGTCTGTCAGGGAGGGAGGAAGGCCTCCCAGTTTTTCTCAGAACAGCTAACCCAGATGAGTAGAATTTTAAGGCTGCAACACTGCAGTCACTTTTAAATTACAAATTTTAAATTACAAATTTCTGGTGTTGACATTCAGAAGGGTTTCAAAGCCTCCTCCTCCCCTCACGAGAGGGAGGAGGAGGTGTGTAGAGATAGGAGGATTCGCATCTTGTCTGGAATTTCATCACTGTCTGTAGAAGGGAAAAGCACATTTGCCCTCCCTAAAGAGCTGAGCCCCATGACCTCAGCTGAAGTAATTCCCCTTCAGTGAGATGTTTCAGTATTTAATTTCTCTCTTTAAGTCCACTGACATATGGGAATAAAAGGTTGTTACTTAAAGACAGCCTGGCACTTTTAGTTCGCAATTGTTTCCTTGCCATGCCATAGTTCTCATAAAGAAGTTTTGCCGGTCTCTGTTGCTTCTTACTGCCTGAGAGGAGTTATGCTTAGGCAGAGGTTACGATGCTGGACTTAGCAGTAGATCATGGCAATTTTGCCATTTTGGCCCATTCTAATAAACAGCAACTAATTTGTAGGTTTTAATATTCTGTATCTTAAAAAGAAATCAGTGTTCTGGAGAGCAATGGCACATAAGGTGAAGAAGCAAGTATTGTGAGAGGAGCAGGAAAACTCACAAATAGGAGCAAATTTAACAGATAAAGCAGAAAGCTTCTCTACTGGTCTAGGTATCACTAGAGTTTGTATTTCAAAGGAAGCTGATTTAATGTTCCTGGGTCAGTATTGGTTGGTTCATAGATTGCTAGCAGACTAAACAAATAAACTCAACTTGACAAGGTTTTCAGCATTGAAAGTTTTCCTCTCAGGTTTACTTGTATAAGTTACCTGTTTCCTGTCTTAAGTGAAAAGTCACTGCTAGGAAACTGAGATGGTAGCAGAAGCAATCACATCGAAGATGTTTTAAATTGTAAATGGAAAATCATCAGGTTTCAGTTTTGCTATTCTCCTTTTAGCGCCTTTAAAAAAAGCCAGCTGTGTGCTGTAAAACGAGAGTTTTCATAATACTGCTGGAAATTCAAAGAGAGCATCCTACCAAGTATCTGGTTTGTGGGTTATAGTGACCATCAGGTACTGATTTTTAAAGAACTGCTATGTTTTGAAGGCCATGAAAAACCTAAATATTGTGTTCCAATGTCTTCTAATTCAGAGAATGGCTGAGGTTGGAAGGGACCTCTGGAGACTGCATAGCCCAACTCCTCTGCTCAAAGTAGAGTCATTTAGAGCAGATTGCTTAGGGCTGTGTCCAGTCAGGTTTTCAATATCTCCAAGGATGGAACTTGCCTGGGCAACCCATTCCAGTGTTAGACCACCCTCACAGTAAAAAAGTTCTTTCCTATATTTAAATGGAATTTCCTGTATTTCCCCTTGTGCCCATTGCCTCTTGTCCTTTCACTGACTATCATGAAGAGGACTCTGGCTCCACCTTCTTTACTTCCTCATGTCAGGTATGCACATTGATGAGATTTCCCCCACAAACCCCAAGCCTTCTGCTCTCAAGGCCAAACAGTCCCATCTCTCTGGACTTTGTGCTGCTGACCACAACCCTTTAAACCTGGCAGTTCAGCCAGTTTTCAGTCCATCTCACTGTCTGCTTATGTAGCCCGCACTTTCTCAGTTTCTCTCTGAGGATGTTATGAGAGACAGTGTAGAAAGCCCAACTAAAGTTGAAAGAAACACCATCCAATGCTCTCCTTTCATGCACCAAGCCAGTCATCTCATAATAGAAGGCTATCAGGCTGGTTAGGCATGATTTTCCCTTTGTAAATCCATGCTGACTACCAGCAGTCACTTTCTCATCCTGGTGTTTGGAAACGAAGCACAATGGCCAGTAGAATACCTCTTGGAGACAGCAGCAAGTTGGAAGTTTGATGTTTTTCTTCTTGCTTCCTCTTTCTTTACCCGAGAAATCAGTGTTCCAGGATCTGATTGCAGAACCCTGTAAGCTAAAGTGTGAGTAAGCGAGCTTCGGTGTGTTTTCTGCAAAGTCTTGCTCATCTCTGGTGATGATGTAGATGTCTGGTAAGTGCAGTAAGAGATAGGAGCATGGAACATTCTTTGAATTTGTAAGGAAGAGACTGGCCCCATGTATAAAGTATGACAATGAAGGTGACAACAGTGCTAATCAGATTTCATCCTACAGCTGTTCCCTGGGTAACTAATGCATGCAGGTGTTGAAAAAAGACTGCGTTATGAAGAGATGAGAAAGATCCTGTAGCAATTCTCTTCCATGACTGAAGAAACACAGTGGGGAAAAAAAAGGTGGATAATGCTATATCATCATCTTCTTTGTCCTCAAAGACAGAGAAGATGTGTTCAGAGGGCAAGCCTCTTCATAGCCAGCTGTAGAAGTTTTATAGAATAGAATAGATTGTAGTCCAACTGCCTGACCACTTCAGGGCTGACCAAAAGTTAAAACATGTTATTAACAGCATTGTACAAATGCCTCTTAAACACTGACAGGCATGGGGCATCAACCACCTCTCTAGGAAGCCTGTTCCAGTGTTTGACCACTCTCTCTGCAAAGAAATGCTTCTCAAGTTTTGCCTCCTAAGGCCAGACAGTGGACAGTCACGTGGTCTTAAAGCTTGGTACCATGAATGTTCCACCACTTCCAGCAGGTTGCTGTCCAGCCAAGTCTGCCTGAGAAATAGTCACAAGTGGGTCTTTGGGTCTGTTTGGTCACGCTCCAAAGTCAATGCAGAGACTTTCATTGTTGTGTTTTGTTGCAGATGGAGTGAGAGAGAAGCAAAAATATACTTTATTGATATAAAACAGTGAGTCAACAAAATTAAGTGGTAAATGCAATGCTGGTTTAGCAAGATTCGATGGCAACGTACACTTGATTATTTACTGCATAGAGGCCAGGTCAGACAAAGCTGTCAGGGAGACCTTCCCATTGAGTCATGAGGTTCAGAAAGCACCCCCTTGCTTTCTAAACTCCTTCTCAGAGAGATGATGAGGTGTGGCTGGATCCAGTCCTAGTCCCAGACTTGGTCAGCAGTTTATGCCTAAAGGATTATATATGCGCAATCAATCCTTTATATCACTTAGCTGAGGTTTCAAAGTTTAGCATGCTGTTGGTCACTTAATGAGGATCTGTTGTGGTACGGAATCTCTCAACCTCGAGGAGTAAACTTGAGAGGCGTCCCTACTCAGGGGGAGATCCTGGCTTGCAGCCCGCTGCCGTGCAGGAGAGCTTGAGGGGCTCTTGGGCTGCTCGCTGTTTATGGGGGTAAGATGATTGACTCCTAGTCATATTTACATACCGACTGCAGGTGTTAAGTTTCTTCCAAATTTGCTTTCAGTTGGACATTGACCAGCACTGTGGGTAGGTGGACGCATTGCCATAAATTAGCCATTGGCTCTTGTGTTGTTACCTGTCTCTGCCAAATCCATTTTGAGCTGGATGCATCCATCACGACCACTACTGGTGGTTATCGCTTGAGCAGGGTTATGCGCAAAGGTGGGGGCTGGGGGGGAGCACGCTGCCAGTGTATAACTGAGGATGTTGCACACATGATCCTGTTGTGATAAGGTATTAGCAAAGCACCGTGTTTCTCTGCAATGTTACTTCTATTTTTCAGGTTACAAGGGTTTTTGAGGAGAAACTGTCTTTTGCTGTATGGTCAGTTACTCCTATTTTGCATCCTGGTAATGGAGCACTGCAGTTACTTCTGGGAGTTTCCCAGGTAGTCACAGAGGTTTGTGGAAAAGCTGGATCCTGAAGGTCTTTGGAGAACTTTAAAGGCTTAATTCACTTGTCTCTATATAGGTGTTTAGTGCCATTTAAGACATACCAGTATATCTAAGATACCTGTATGAGACAAGTAGAGATGATGCAGAACCTCAGGTGACCTCTTCTACTGCTGCTCTAGAAAGGCACGGGTGCCCAACAGCAGCTGTACCGGTACTACACGCCTCTGTGTAAGGATCTGAATCCTGTCCTAAGTGTTGCTGTTAAGAACAGAAGAGCCTCTGATAGGCAAGAAACCTTGTCTGTTGTTCTGTTTGTCCACAGGATGTCCTGTGAACAGATCTTTCTGTCTTGAAGCTAGAAATGTGTCTTACCTCCACAGATGTCTGTAAAAGATGAGGCAGCCAAATACTTACATGATCAATTATGTCTCTCTTCCTTTCAGGTGAATTATATAGAGCCTCTTTAAGAAAACAAAGGTTCCCAGCACAAGGCAGTATTGAAATACAGGAGGACAATGAGGTGAGATTGTTTCCCAAAACAAGCTGTGCTAATTTCCAAGGAGTAGACATGTGGAAATGCTCTCATATTGTATTATGGAATTATAAACCTATTTGGTTGCTTAGTGTGTCTTTCCCTCGTTCAGTAGGTGCATGTGCAATCACTGAAAACCATCACAAGCTTTTTTAGACATTGCATAATTAACTTAGGTGGAAATACGACCCAGTTCTAAAGTTACCAATTTCTTTGTATTATCTGTGTCAACAACAATTCTACCCCTACCCCTCACTAAACTGCAGGCTGAAATGTGTGTGTCTGTGTTTGTTTACTTGTCAGTTTTTCTGATTAATGTTATTCTTGTTAAACTTGGAGCAATTCTTCTCATTTTATATTTACTCTTGAAGATTGTGGCTTTCGTTCAAGAACTGTCCCGAACATTGCTTGATTCTCAGTAAACCACGCAATCTAGCAATTAACAATCCCCAGACAAATACAAGAAATATTACTGTTATTTTTATGATGTTCTCACATTTGATCAGGAACTAGAAGTCTCCAGGAATCATGTGATCCAAACTGAAGAAGAAAATGGCAATCAAGATTTAAAAAACAAAAATCTCCTAATCTTTCAATGTATTACTGAGTTCTTTGGGTGCACATAACTCTCAAGGGGTAAAGAAGAAAAAATAGTTATGTTTTTTCCAGTTTCAAGTAGTTAACATCTTGCTTATTCTGATATTACATACTGATTATTGTCTGTGTATGCACTTACTCATATGTTCATAAATGTATTTGTGCGATTTATGGATATCGGCAGTCATAGTTTTCACTCTTTCAGTAAAAGTCTGGCCAAGTTAGCCCCATTTTTCATTTTAATTCGAAGTTGCCAGTCTTAAAAGGCTGAGATAGCTGTATCAGCTGCTTTTGCTGGATGTTCTCATTGGCAGAGAAATTTGTCTTTTTAGAACCTGTGACGATTTGAGTTAGGATGTCTCCAGTCCATGCAGCAGCCTCATTCATGATACCTAGACAGACGTTTGCTAAGGCTCTCTGTAGATGTTGGAATTCTTCTCCTGTCTCAAATATATTTAAAATAGCTTTTGATGCACACAAAGCTGTTCATAATCTTCGTTGATCTGAAACTTACATCTGTGCTGCCAGGGTTTTCTGGCAGAGCATAGTGTGCTCTACCTGGTCCAGGCACACTTCAATTAAATGGAGCACAGGGCACCCCCGCTCCTCCTGCCACAGCCCCCTCCACCCCCCCAGTAAAGGCAAATATTACAAAAAGATTACAGTGGGGGTGGGAGAAACAAATTGCTGCTAACTGCTTGTGAATGTTGACGCCAAGTGTACCAACACTGTCCATATAAACACTTCCTCCCTTCTATTCCCTGTTTTTCTCACAGGAAGGAGCTCAACATCAGAGCTGCAAAACACACGTGCTAATTTTGATCCTACATGGGGGGAACATTTTAGACACCGGAGGTGGGGACCACAGCAGCAAGCTGGCGGACATCAACACCTTCAGTTCTGTGTTTGAGAAAGTGACCCGAGCCCATTTCCCTGCTGCTTTGGGCCACATCTTAATCAGACTTGTTCCCTGCCCAGCAATATGTTCAGCAGCTTTCTCTCTTGTTTCCAAGTAAGTTCAGTTGCATTTTCTAATGTTTGGCTTTGCAGTGTGGTTTTGAATGGCTTTCTGTGACCTGTCTTTTTCATAATGAAATGCTGCAAATCCTTCTTAATCTTTTGCTTGCTGCAAGACTTGGAACAATCTTTCATCCTTTTCTAAGTTGCTGTATTTGTTTAAAAAAAAACAACCAAACAAACAAACACAAAACCCCCACCAAAACAAAAAAAACCCAAACCCCATGGTGGACTACGGCCTACTGCCCACATGCATCCAAAAGAAAAAGAAAAAAATCCAGAAGAAATCCGGACAGAAGAAGAAATGTGATAACTGTTAACTCTCCCTCCACCTCCAAAACTGACCCTGAAAATCAGTAGTCAACTTTTATCTTATTTTAAAATTGAAACATAACTACATCTGCCTGCAGATATGCCAGCTGGCCTTTATTGGTTTTATTTACCTGTTCATTATTTGGCCATTGTAGGGACAGGATATTGTAGAAAACCCTCCTGGTAATTTTAATGTTTCTTGTTTTAGAAAAAAAAATGTCATATTGCTAACATGGGTTTAGGAATAAAGTGGAGATTGTGAAGTGTTGCTGAGAAACTTAGACTGATTTAAGTAAATTCTGCTTTGTGCTGGAAATTGAGAACAGAAATAAATATCTAAAACAAGAGTGATTCAACACGTCGTCTTGGTGAGAATTTACATATGGACATGGTTTTTACATTTAAGATGACAAAACTTTATTATCAGTTCATTCCCAGTAGCAGCTTCTGCACTTTAAGGTCCTTAGTGGTTTGTGGTAGCCCACTCACTTATCGTCATTAACCTATAAGAATGCCACATACAGAAGTGTCTCGAATGGGCTACGAAGGGTGCATCTCTAGGAAGCGGTGCTTTTGGCTGGTGAAAGCTTCCCCTAAGTGATGGTCGCCTTTATAGTCTTTTTAGTGCAGTATAGTGCCCAAAGTTATGTTTGAACCTTGTGTAGAGCAGAACACCCTGCGGAGGAGTTGAGGAGGTCTACAGTCACGGCTGAGACAGGCATATGGGAAGAAGAGGTGGCAGGGTGCAGACCAGACTGGTGGGAGGTGAGCCTGGCTGTTCGCATCAAGGCGGGGTACACTGAAAGAACCAGGAAAGGAGAAGTGTGTGCATGTCCAAGTTGCTGCCCTGTAAAGCAAAAGGACTGATAGCAGAAGAGGAGTTGAAGCATCAAAAAGTGTTTGGGAGATCATCCTTGCCCATCTGGGCCATTGATTAGCACAGGGCTCAGTACCATCTCTTTGGTATCTCATAATGCAGTGCCTGCAGGTCTCAACTGCTTGGCAGAGGAGCTGATAGCGTGGAAGGAAGAGTGTGTGCTGGCAGCCCAAATGGATGGAGCTCCCACTTCTTTCTCTGTTTTTTGATTCCCTCTTTTTGCAGCACATGGTATTTGGCCAGACTGAAAACAGCCAGGCTGGGTGTTTGAATGTCCCATAGAATCGCTCCGACATGAGATTGGTATTGCCTTGGTATGTTCTTGTGTGAGGCTGCTTGTGATGTACCCGTTTGGGGCTGACAAAAGGAGAGGTGATTCCCTGTTCTCACATTTCTGCAGCTTCATGCCAGCAGCTTTCACAGCCAGAACGCCAGGATGCAGTCGTAGAACATAAACTTGTGGTAAACGTTCCATTTAGCAAACTGGGGGGAGAAGGTGCATTTTTAATTACTATCATGTTTCATCGAGGGTGAGCCAGAGGACTGACTAAGCAGTAGCACAGGATTTCTTGTTTGGTTTGAACGATTCCTCCATTTTCTGAATGTGCAGGCACAGTGCGTGCCAAGGTGGCACTGTTTGCCTTGGCACAGGTTTTGGATTATGCTGTGTCTGGGTGCTGGGTGCCTGGCTTCAGACGGATTCCACGGGGACTTTTCATCTGCATGCACCTATGAAGTTCTCCTCCCTGCCTTACGAATATTGGCTTGAAGGGATCTTTCAGGGCAAAATCACTCCGTCTAGTAAATGCTTCAGATTGTTGAATCTGGTCCGCTCCCATCTACTCCCACCACTTCTAGTTTCCTGTGTATCTCATATAAATCAGACACTGTTTATGCAACCTGTGTAAATTTATAACTCATGACTGATTGCCTGTGACTTATCTCCGTCTTTGCTGCTGAGTATGGGTAAGGGTTAAAACTAAGGCACATTCTTGTGCCAGCTGGATGACTAGAGAGCCATCTCTTCCATTTTCAGGGAGAAAAATATCCCAGAGTGGATCAGCAGTTATGCTTTTTATAGCATATGATTTGATGAGTATACGTTGATTCACACCTCAGACTAGAGCTCCTAAATTACAATATTAGCTAAACTGGAGAATAGTAATTGCAAATTTAGGGGCGGGTAGGGGAGAAAGGAGAGAAAGGAAAAAAAGGCCAAACCAAAAGTTACATGTAGGAAGCAAACAGTTAAGTAGGAAAATAAGCGTATGAATAATCAAATGAGATGAAAATATTTTGTTGGATGAGTTTTGGAGTGCTCAGCCCCTTGCGTGCTTCTTCCACAGTAGCATGTCCTGCAGTGGGAGCTCTTGGTGTTGCGTTTGCCTAATCAGTTTTTTAAAATACTTTTATAATTTAATTAGAAAGTGTATGGAGAAGTCCAGCCGCTATGATTTGAGTATTTTCTGTTCCTTGTTTTTCTTTTGTCCTGAAAGTGGAAGAAGTAAATGCATACTCTGACATTCAGAAACAGCAATAGCAAGTCCCTAGGACTGTCAGCATGAGGTGCAGATAGCCAAACCGTAAATGTCAAAAAGCTGTTGTGTGACAGTTATCCAAACAAGTGTTACCATATGGGTGATTTCCCCCTCCGCTTCCCGCTCGCACGGCTGCCGTGTCAGGGACTGCTGACCTGAGGCAGTTTTGAGGATAGGCCACTGTTTTGTCTTGATCTGCGTCTAGCCAGATGCTTTCTGCCTTCAAAATAAGTTTTATTCCCTTGCTCCTCCTTTCCTCCCCCCACTCCCCTGCATTGAATAACCCCTCGCCCCATCCCCGTGTGCCGTCAATCCCTTCTCCCCTGAGTCACGGGTACCACCGCCCTCCATGGAAGCCAGCTCTGTCCTGCAGCCTGGTCATTTGCTGCCTTTTATCAGAGAGCTGTTCGGTTCTTACACGGGTGACTTTTATCTGTCAGGGTCTTGGTGATTTCAGCTGCTCCCTTGTGATTTCCCTCTCCGCCTCCAGCCCTCATGCAAGTGTGATGTTTCCAGGTGGGTGCTTTGGAACGACCTCCTGCAGCGTCCTGCCAATGCATCGAGATAAGAAGACTCGTGCTCCTTTTAGCTCCAGTGCTGATATTTTACCTGTTTGTCTTAGCTTCAGCACTAACACTCAGCATGTCCCCTATGATAAACAACTTCATCTCTTCTGTACGCTCTTTTGGTGGTCTGGATCCTTCTTCCCTGTGTGTTTTGTTTACGATTACAACAGAGGTCTCTGTGGCTGCAACCTTTACAATAAAATAAATTGGAATTAAAAAACCCAAACCCTCATTTCTAAGCCAGTTAACTGTGATTGTCTAGAGAATAATTGCTTAGTTTCAGTTTGATCTCTATTCCTTTAGCCATGACAAAAATATTACTAGCTATTCATTTTTCCATTGACTCTTTGCTGTGGTTTGCTTGTGAATGTTGTTTGCATTTTACTTTTATTATGAAGACATATGCAGGTATTTTTTTCCATTTCAAACATTCACTTCATAATTTTTTTTCCTCCTGTGTTTCTCCCTTTCCCTTTCTGAAGTGTTATCTGCCTATTATTGTAGTAAATTAGGCATTTTAATGTAGGTTTTTAAGGTTAATCTTCCATTCTTGAGAGTTACTATTCATAACTGTATGTCTGCTGTGCATTTGGATGATCTAATCAGCTGGCAGAATGAAGCTGTGTTAATTGCTAAATTGACACATCTTGGCAGGCCAGCTGAGCTCCAGGACACAGAAACTGTTTTACTACTTTGGATGAAAAATACCAGATCTTTGGAGTGCTTCAGCAAGAGCCAAGTGTGGACATGTCCAGTGAGGCTCAGGACATGAACACAGCCCAGCTTCCATACTTGAGCGTGGCAAGTCATCTGTCCTTCCATCACCCTTGTAATGGTCTCAAGGATGCAGGTGTTGGCAAAGACATTTTAGGCAGCTTGCTTTTCAATATTGTGATCGCCCACAAGTTCCTAAAGAAAGTGAATGCTAAAAAGTGTTGCAGTTGCCTGCCTGCAGCTCTGGATGAACTTTGGATGAGCTGTATTATCCAAAATACTTCTGACTTTAATCTCTAAAGGACAGTCAGCTTACTGCAAGAGAATCTAGCACACACTAATGTGCCCTGCGTCTTTGGCTCTCTGGGAATTGTTTTCATCAATAAAAATTAGTCAAGACATGATTAGCACATTTACTGAGAAACGTGCGGGTTGCACGACAAAGCTCAAAGAAAGCTGACTCCTATCAGATTTAAGCATGCATTTCCAGTTGAGTCACCTCCTTTTTTTGCAAAATGTTACTGTGCAAACTTTTACATATGATTTCAGAACATCTGCGGCTATACGCCATCTTTCTGAAAGGGTGGGACACAGGGAAGGATGGTTTTATATGCTTTTGAACAACACATCTATCGCATTTGTGTTCTAGGAAACAATATTCCATTGTGATGATTGGATCCCGTTCTTTGATGTAGTAAGTTGTCACATGGGGAAAAAAAAGAAGCTGAGATGGTGTAATCTCTTTGCTGTTCTGAATGATGTCTGCTTGTATGTGGAAAAATTGCACAAAGTATATTGAACTACAGAAACACCTTCTAGCATGATCTCATTCACATAAAGTAGTAACTCCTTGATTTTCTAAGCATTTGAATTCTGTGAGAAAATGAGCCTTCCCGTACTCTGCCATGGGCAATTGCAATAACCCAACATGTTTCTCTTAACAAGTAACTGTTCATTCTTTAATGCCGTGTGCTGCCTCTTGCGTTTTTCCTGATGATAGCGTGTCCTCCTCTAGCCTAAATCCGTACAGCTATGACGAGAGCTGTCTCAGCAGCAGTGAAGACCACATCCCGCTGGCTGCCTTGCCCCTGCTGGCTGTTTCATCCCCTCAGTACCAGGATGCGGTTGCCATGGTGATCAGTAGAGCCAATCAAGTTTACAACGAATTTCTCAAATCTACAGATGGGGCTGGTTTTAACGGACAGGTAGGACTATTTTCTCTTATATCAAAGTAAAATTCTTTCCGAGCAAGGCTGTTTCTTTTTAAGCCATTGTGTTGAGCGTTTCGAGTTACAAGCGTGGGACAATACTGCAAATATGATGAAAAAATGCTAGTGTGGGATTACCTATGCAAAATGTGTTCTCAGTGCCCAGCGTGAGAAAGACACTTCTGGAGCCCTGTGCAGTGTCTAACCTAGACTTACGCGCTTGGTAAAAGATACTATACCTTCTCCCACATGCATTTTGACCCCTAAGCTCTTACTAAGCATTGCTATGAACTCTGGTGAGGCGTGAGAACCTCTTGGCAGAGGGCGTATGTCTGGAGATAAAAGGAAGTGGGAGAAAGCGGCTGCACATTTTCAGCTGCAGTAGGAACCAAGGTGTAGCAAAACCAGGAACAAGGGTGTAAAGTAATATAGCAACTCCTCTGCTGTGCTGTGATGCTTTTTGTTTCTTTTAAAACACTTGCTACGTGTCCCAGAAAATCTTTTTATTTCCTCAGGTGTGTCTCATTGGCGACTGCATTGGAGGAATTTTGGGCTTTGATGCCATCTGCTCTAATTCTAATACAGCTGATGAGAGTCAGAACAGTAGCAGGAGAGGAAGCATCAGCAGCATCCAGGTGAAGAGAAAAAGTCCACACAGCTGAAACCCTATAGATTCACTCCCTGGAGAAAATCAGCTCCATAGAAAACAGAGAAAATTTAAGGATTTGGTAAATTGCCATGATAGCACGGGATTTTGCTCATATATAAAGAAATTGCTGTCTGAAAAATCAAGTCCGCAGCTTCAGTTTTATGACATACAGAAATCACTAGTTGAGGCTTTAACTGTAAATCTTTAAAGTAGGGTTACCACGTGCCCTTTATTGTATCCCTAAGTGTAATGCAAACATGTCCTCTCTCAGTAATCTCTGCTAAGCTCCTGGTTTTGCCAAAACCTTTTCTATTTCTTTTTATAATTATTTTATTTGCTCACATAGGGTCTGGAGTTCCTTATGCTACTGCCTGGGGGTAGTCTAGCATTAAGATGTGTTCATGAATAAGTTTTAGTGACTGGTGAAAGAATGCCTCCTTCCTGACAAGGCATGCAGGTCACCTGAGGATCTGTGAACGGACCACTGAGCATAGCAATGTCTATAGGAGTGCTGCATTTGAAGAGAAGGGAGGATTAATTCTAACTGTGATCCAGGGAAGATTTTATGATGGTGAAAGCACAATTATTTGAAGTAATGCTAGCATGTAAGCGTCATTATTGTGTTCAACACTTAAGAAAACTGAAGTTCAGCTAATCTTAAGTACGTCAGACCCAAGTGGATATGGAGAATGGGTGTGGCATATTAGAGTTGACAAGATGCCTGTCCTCCATTCTTTGATGGTTTTGTGACCCTGGCCAAATTGTTTCATCTCTTTAGTTACCTTTCTCCTCAAAAATGGGCTCAGTGGTACCAACCTGCTTGATTCGGTTGAGAGCTATGTGTGATGGGAGTACTCTTGAGCAAAGAGACATCCTCTAAATGCTTCCAGGAAGGAGAATTACTCACCACTAATAACATGGCTCAGGATTCTCAGCAGCCGGCCTTTAATGGCACCAGCACTGAGGACAGTGCATTACAAGTAAAGTAAATAGAGAAATGGTCCTCCTGGATCCCAGTCCTACAGTGGGGTTGATGTGCAAGGGCTGATGATGAATCTGAGAGTGGGGATCAGGCTTTAGGGAGCATAGGTTCTTTTGACTTCCCTGCTCTTGCTTATAGTTTCAACTTTTCTGTATTCCTCTTCCCTGATACCACAGAGCTTCTCTTCCCATTGCTCTCTCCATCTTTTCCCTTTCCTCCTCTCTTCTCCAACTCTACTGCTCTGTGTTTTCAGAAGAACTAAGTATTCCTTTCCTTCCTTATCTTGTCCTTCTGTCCATTGTTCTCAGCTTGCTGCTGTGAAACACATTCAGGAGGACTCTTTTTACTGGGTTGTTTTTTTCCCCTTCCTTGGTGTCTCCAATAGAAATGGAAGAGTTTGAGATGCAGAAATATAAGAGAGCTTTTTACCATTTCACAAATGTCAGGGGTGTTTATGAAATGAAACTAGTTGGAAATAAGGATGAGACCGGGGTATTCTCAACCATTGCATTTTATGTTCTGGTTATAAACTGTGAAAATAGAGTAAATTAAGTTTATATAGTTCCCTTCTTACTCTGTGTATTTCAAAGTGGTCTCTAATAATAAGCTAGATTGGTGATGCAGTGACCATTACATTCTCTGAATAGTGCACAGTTTTAGGCACTAGAAACTTCCTTTTGGAGAGAGAAGGCCTGTTAGTTTAATGAGGCAATGTAAATAAGGAATTTAGAATGATACATTCTTCTGTTATCCCAGGTGAGTATTTGTTGGTTTGTGTGTTGTTCCAATCTACACTAAGTAATCAAGTCAGAATTAACCATAACAGGTAGTGACTTCTACAGTATAGGCAGAAATGTGAACGACTACTGAGATCATGCTGATCGTTGCGTGTACGCGCTTGTGCAGGGCAGTATTTGAACATCTGCCTGTTCAATAAAAGAGTCTGCAGTAGAGCAAATGCCACTCTGCTCAGACCAGGCTAGTAACTCTTGCTCTTTAACAATCAGTTACATTTGTAAACGTCAAAATACTTCACAAAGAAAGCCAGCGTTGTTGTCGTCATCATCGTATCTCTCCTCGGGTTATTAAAGGGCAGAAGAATGAAGTGAACTTGGTTCATCATCAGAAGTGGAAACCCGAAGTCTTACATTAGCAATCACTGGACATGGTTGGGAACACTGTCTCTTGGAAGAGGAAGATGGTTCTTTTTTGTTGCAACAGCTAAAATACTCATAATTTAGAAGTAGACAACTCTTCCTTAGGATGGATGGAAAAAGTTGACAGTTTGCTTCACATGGATCAAGGACAAATAAAAGCCACCTGCAGGTGACTGATTATGATCCCCGTATTGTTACCATATTATTGCAGATGAGATTTTAATTGTGGCGTGTGGAGGAGCTGAAAGAGCTTGTAGCAATGGAAAACCAGCTTTTTAACTGCTTAAAATGCAGCGAATAGTCTCTATACTGATCACCTCAACCTTCTTCTAATGTGTTACCTAATGTCTTTTTAAGTTGTTTAGTATATTTTGTGGGAACTCTTTCTCACTCCCTGATCCAGCTAATATAAATGCTGAATTGTCTCAGTTTCTTTAGCAGTATACAAGAAAGACTCTGTCATGAGGGTGAACCTAAAGTGTCAAATCGGCAAAATTAAAATCTGGCGAGGTTTTTTGAACAGGTTTGAATACAGGATTTTTTGACAAGACTTTTTTTTTTTTTTTTTTAAAGTATTAGACTACTATAAATTTGAACACTTTCTCTTCACCATGATGCCACAGTGTGCAGACATTTTGACATATGCTTAGCATCTGATGTAATTTTCACTGTTCAGATGCAGAGAAGGCCCAGATAGTTTAGAGAAGTTAATTTCTGTCTGTCTCTGTGAAATGGTTGTCAGGCTTTTCCTGTTGAATGGATAGTCAGTATCATGTGTAAAATGGATTTGGTCCCAGGTCAGTCCTCAAGGGACTATCACATGAGTATCACGTATTGTCCATGGGATAAAAGCCAGCTCCAGAACTGGCAGTAACTATAGTTCCCGGGTTTTCTGTTCTCAGGAATAAGACTAATTATTCACTTGTCACAGGAGCCAGGAGGTCCTCTAGGCCATGGGAAGACTGTAGGTGGGACAGCGTGGGAAGGTTCATCTCATAGATCGTATACTGCTGCTGCCTTGGTTTCATTTTCCTGCAACTCATCTGCGTAATTCTGGAGAACAGATTAGGTTCTGTAACATCTCTTCTTGACATGAAATCTCACCACACGGGCACAGGGCTGCTAATGTACTCCAGTACAGAGTGAGGTTATAGGAAATACCTGTCCTATTAACTTGTTCTTTCTTTCTGTAGCTTCAGAGAAACAGATTCAGTTAGCCTGTTTTCCATAGTCTGCCTGCATGACCGTGGCCAAGCCTCTTGATCTATCATGCCTCAGTCCTCATCTGTAAGCCTTGCTCTCTTTCTCACATCCTCAGTTTGTCTAGTTGGATCATACGCTCTGCAAGTTGCTTAGAAGTACTGAGCATGATAAAGTCCATTTTCACTTGGGGCATTTGCTGTTACGAATTGTGAAGGGTGTTCCGGTGCCACTTCCACAGTGTAATGCAGTGGTGTAATGCTATGTCCAAGAACAGAGGTGCGGGGAGCAGCGGTGAAGAAAATGTAACTGAGTGTGGGGAGAGTTGTGTGCAACAAGGAAAAGAACAACTTGGAATCCTGCTCTCTTGTAGAACACCTAGGCAATTTCTCAGCGACCTTCCCTAGGGTTGTCTCACAGAGATCTAGTCCCTTGTCCTTCTAAAACTACTTTTTTTCTTCCCTCATTGAACTGTCTGTGGCATGTATGCTTTGGAAGACCTGAGATTTACCCATAGAAAATCAAGTTTAAAATGTGTTGATTTTGACCAAGGAAAATGAAGGCTTTCTTCTGAGGTGCAATAAGAGCATGCCATGTCCTGTTAACTCGCTTTAGGTAATGGTTATTATTCTAGAGCTTAACTAAAAAAAAAAGAGAAAGCAGCTAGCATTCTGCTGTGTGTCTTGTGCCCAGTAGATCAACATGCACAACCGAAGTGCTAGGTATGCTAGGTTACCCTTAACGGTAGCAGTGCAGAAGAGGGGGTTTGATGCTTTTCTCACACAGTGTTGTTCCAAGACTGTTTAACTCCAGAAAAATTTGACCTGTCTGAGATTGCCTTGTGGCACAAGAGGAGAAGACACACTCTGCAGGGAGAACCCGTTATTGAAGCTTAGAGGACGAGGGTGAACTGTTGCCAGCTTTCAGGGATGAAGGTATTAGCTTCCATTACCGAAAAATCATCTTAGCTAGTGACACAAGCTAGTTTGTCAACACTGTGGAGAAACATGCGTGTGACTAAAAGAAAAGCATTTGGTGTTATGTTACTGCCAACTCTGTGCCTTTCCAACAGCCAGCCTTCTTCCTGAGACCACCAGGAAATCAAGAGACCTAAACAAAAATATTTAATCATGTTGAGTTCCTTGCATCTGCTTTCTTGCTCTGGCACCTTCAAGGGTTCCTTCTGGGACCTTCAAGGGTCAGTGCGTTTCATGGGCTTTGGTTCAATCTCTAAAAATTCCCATTCAGCTATGTATATGTGGATTCACCTTCATAGCAAAACCACCAAATTGGAACTTCACGCAAAGGTTGCAAAATATTTGTAGACAAAATTACAATTTAAAATCATAAATATATTGCATTTTCACGGCACTGTTGCTTGGGAACAAGCTAGAGATTGGAACTCATCATGAAGGCTGAGAGATAAATAATTACCTTCGCTGAATCAGTTTGAGAGAATCATGAGACATGAGCAGATAAAGAAATGTTGTTCACTCATGTCCTTGATAATTCACCTATAAAGAGTTGCTCTGTAAGAAACTCAGGAACACTTTGGTTGTAGGAATCTTGGCTTTGAAAGGGCCCTGGTGTTCTGGAGTGTAGACAGAATTGCTAAAAAGGGCTGATTTTATAACAGAGCTTCAATGTAAGGTTGTAAACTGCAAGGCAAATCAAGCTACATAGAGTCAGTGTTGGGCTGGGAAAAAGTTACTGATTGCATTAAAAACACAAGTAGGGCCTGTGGTTGCTTCTGGCTTAACAGAAGCACATACTTTAGGTGGAGCCTTTATTTAGGTTTTACATCACTTAACCACACAAAGCAGTGGCAGCAGTCAGGTGCCAACACACAGCAGGAGCCCTCATCTACCTGGCCCCATGGAATAGTTCTTGGCACTCGTTATCAGTAACAACTATGGGAAGTAAGGCTTAGTTTTAGCATTGTAGATAAGTTAGTATTAGGTCAAGCAAGGTCCTAAATCTTACACAACTTTAATATGAAAGTTGGCATGATGTGAATTTCAGTACATTTCTATGAAATGCAGAGATTCCTACATGCATGTTGAGTTTTTTCATTGTACCATCACAGGAGTAATTGTCTGTGAACATGCTGGTCCTAAACTAATCTTCTGCAAGTTACTAAGATGCTAATGCTAGTTGTATGATATCATCACATGAATTCTAGTATTGCATTGTAAGAGTTGTTAGAATATGGATGAAAACCAATAATTACGCAATTAGAAGGATTTTAACTGTCTCTTCTCCTATTGTGCCTTGTTGATGTTCATATCTTTGAAGTTTTGTAAAAATAGATGTCAGGCATTTTTACACTGCCTTATTTTGTTGATCTGAATAGAAGGAGATTTACACAGAATTGCGTTACGCAGTTGTTAGAAGGAACCAGAGCTTGCATGCCCCATGCACCCAGATCTCACACGTGAATGGGGGCGATTCAGTCCAATGGCGTTTTGAAAAGCAGCGTTTGCATTGGCTACCGAAATGGATGGAGGAATAAAAGTCCAGGGGTAATAGAGATATGTCAGGGAGGATGCTGGTGAAAGCTGCAGAAGTGCTGGAGGAGATGAACAATAAATAAATCTATTTCCTATTTTAAAGGGTACCTTAAAGATACGGTACCACTGGTCTCCTCTTGCATCCCGCAGAAGTTCACATTCTTAAAAAATCAGGTCCCACATCCATGGAACACAATGAGCAAGGCCATTAATGTTTTAATGGACATTTTGTGCACTCAGGTAAGACCCCTTCTGATTACCTTACGATACAGTTCTCTAAGAGTGATGACATCATGAGGGATAAAGCTTTTGTGTAATTCCTCCTCCCCCCGCTAAAATTCCTGACTATCCCTCCAGTTTTTAGGCTATACGTCTTACAGGGAAATTTAGTCTTCATCTCTTTCCTTATCTTCAATTGCAGAGAGAAAGTCTAACCCCTTCCGCCCTTTCTTGGATAAAGTGAGGTCGAATGTATAAATGCAGCCATTTCATACAAGCTCTGTCTTATTTTGGTCACTGTCTAAATCTTTCTTTTGCTCTGTTCATTCTCTGAAGGATAATCCCCTCTTAGCAGAGGACTCCAGTCTGGGTGACAGCAAACGCCTGAGCAAAAGCAATATTGACATCTCGGGAATCATGGAGGATGAGAAGCCAAGGCAGCCGTTGCCTAGGAAACAGAGTGACTCATCCGCCTATGACTGTGATACTATAACCCAACACCATGCTTTCCTGTCTAGGTAACTAGTCTTTGATGACTGAGTAAAAGAAACAGGCTGGCATTGAATGGAGCCTGGCAGCACCAGAGCAGCAGAATCTTTCTATTGTTTGCGGTGTGTTTCTGGAGTTTGCTTCAAGTCCCTGTGTACCCCTCAAAGAAAACCACAGATGTAGTGGGTCTCATATGAACTGACACGTGGAGAGGTTTTTATTTAATCTTTATTCAGTTGTGAGAGTTTTGAATATGCAAAACTGAGTGCAAGTGGTTCCGTTTTTTCAGTGCAGCCCACACAAACAAAGATGGATGAATGCTTTATGATTCTAAATTTCTGTTATGTTTTTCTTTCTCAAGATCCCTCTTACAGGCTTTTGGCTATTCTGTAGAGAGTGAGATAGTTGCTTTAGATGCTCCCATTGGTCTATGAGCTATTCAGATCAGCTTTCAAACAAAAAAACGCCTGCACAAACATTTGGCTTAAATGAGGAGGAGGTTGGGGGAGGAGACTTAACTTAATTAGCTTTTCTGGATCCTAAGAAACCTGTAAAACACTGATTTGATGGGAAGATAAGAATTCCCGTTGTCTCATTGTTTCTGCCTGTTCTAAGCTATTTGGATTTTTACTTATCTGAATTCTTTGTGCTTTTTTTTTCTCTATCCATCACCTTATTTCCTTTATTTCATTGGGAGTGATGCAGAGGGAGAAGTCTGATTGTGTGTGGAAGTTTCAGTTCTGCTACAGTTGAGTATAGTGCAGAATTACTGCTGCGCTTTACGTCACATCTAGTGGGTTTGTTAGTAGCAGTTTAAGATAATTTGCTTTTCTTGCTTTGACTGAATGTACTTTGTTTTTGTTGACTATTCTGCTTTCATTTTCAAACCATTGGGTTTTCTGGACATCGATATGTTGTAAAGTGTTTTCCTTCTGAGGCAGCGTGGTTGTTTTGTCTGTGACTTTTTTGGTCAGCCATTGTCGTGGTTTAACCCGGCTGGCAACTCAGCACCACGCAGCCGCTCGCTCACTCCCCCCCCCTCCCTCAATGGGATGGGGGAGAGAATCGGAAAGAAAATAAAAGGTTAGAGCTGAGGGCTGAGATAAAGACAGTTTAATAAGAGAAAATAATAATAATAGTAATAATGAGAATGATAACAGAATATACAGAATATACAAAACGAATGAGGCACAAGGCAATTGCTCACCCCCCACCGACCGATGCCCAGCCCGTCCCGAGCCGC